GCTGGGCTTTCGGACCAGCAAGATGCTGCTGCAGGAGGGCAGGGCTGGGAGACGCCCCGCGAGATGGAGGTCCTGATGCCAAACCTGCCTCGCCGGAGCCCTCCCTGCCTGGGGAGAGCCCGGCAGGAGCTCCCGGGCCAGCGCCGAACCCAGCCAGGAAAGCAGCTTGGTGCTTCAGGGGCTGAAAGGAAAAATTCAAGCTTAATGCATCCTTAAAACTTCACCTTGCAATAAAATAAAATTAAATTTGTTTAGCTCTAACCAGCCCGGCTGGCAGTGGGGCAGACCAGCTCATGCCGATGCCTGGTGGCGAGTGCTTCCCTTTCCACGACCAAGAGTTAAAATTCCAGGCGGGTTACTCACCCATCACAAGTGCTCCTGAGCATGGAAAAATAAATTCACTACAGCAAATTGAGGAGAACTGGGGTTTCTGAAGCCCGTGCCTGTCTTATGCAACTCAGAAGTAACCACAGTGCTACTTTCTCTGGTAAGTAACACATGTTGGAGGAGTTGGGATTTAAGATGGTTGATGTACATCTGGAGGTAACGTGTCCCCGCTGCCTGAGGTTTTATGTCTGAGGCCTCTTGCTGCAGCACTAAAACTGCCCCAAGACCCACGTGAAGTGAATTTAAGTACTCTCTGATCTCTTCCCAAGACTCACTATTAAAAAGGCAGTTAAAAAGAAATATCCTCCTCTCCGTCCTGCTGGAAAAGGTGAACAGAAAGCTTAGATTTGAGGCCACGAGCTCCGGGGCGGTGGCTGTGAGGACCTCAGGCAGATGCTCCGCCACCTCCGTATACCGCAGGGATGTTTGAGCAGTTGATGAGGAAGGAGGGAGGAAACATCCCCCGCGCAAAGTGGTCTTTGGGCATCCAAAGCCCTCAGCTAAGCAGGAGAAATTCAAGTCGGTGCATTTGTGTATACTGCCAAGGAAGGAGCAGCTTGCTTTTTTTTTTCCTCCAAAGAATAATCAGGAATAGGTTCTCAGCAAAAAACAACTTAGCAGCCACCAACCTCGCATCTGCCCCACCAGCCCCTTCCATAGCAGCAGGCTGCAGGAACCAGCCTCCGGCAGCACTACACGCGGTATTTATAAACATGCACCTTGGAAGCCAGATGGCCTTAAAATGCCTTTTCCTATTAACTGCTGTCACTCTCCTCCATCCCAGGGAAGCGTCCACTCGCGGTCCCGGTGCTCTGCTTTGCTGCAACCCCCCTGCCCGGAGGGGAACTGCTCGCTCCGGCAGGTCCCTGGTGGCGAGGAATGGGGAAGGATGCTTCAGCAGGGAGCAAGATAAGTAATAAATGGGTGCGAATATCAGTAAGTATCCAAATACACTACACTGTCAGCAACACCCAGCCTACGGAGACCACAGCGGGGCTCCTCCCGGGGCCAAAACCAGTCGAATGAGGAGAGGTAAGAAAAGGCAGCTCATGGCAGAGGGGACATGGAGTCCTCTGTACCAGGCACAGGGTGCAAATCGCCATCAGGCTGGAGGGAACACAATAGGAGACCCGTGCAGGTACGAGCACATGCAATTTATCTTGCGGCTGCACTGAAATGACTCTGAAACGTGAGGCCCCAAGCATTGTGGCAAGCTGTGGCTGTGCCCTCTGGAAGACCACGAGGTGCTTTTTTAAAAGGCAGGAACTAACAGAAAACAAGATTCTTCGCACGTGAAGTCACTCAGACGCACCCAAGTCCGGCCCGTGGTGTATTAAGCACTGGGGAAGGCCCTGGGTGAGAGATGCCGGCCAGCCCCAGCCTCCCCGGGCTGCTCCAAGGGACAACCATGAAGACAGCAAAACCTTGAAGTTAATGGAAACAAGTCTTTATTAAGTAACTTTTAATATCAGAAAAATAAAACTCTTATAATTCTCTTTACAGCAAATATATAATATCAGTGCTTTGGCCATCATAAGTTAAAGGCCCTTTATCATAAAATATATGGTTTTTAAACTTTACTCAAATTGAATTTATAATCCCTATGACCTCCCTACATATACATAACAAAAAGTGTAGTAAAATTAGCAAATACTAAACTATATTGATAGTTTATCATTCTTAGTTTGTGGTTTATAGAAATGGTACACGCACCTAATGTCTGTCGATTCCTTGGCTTATTAGTTGCCGTGTACGATGCAATAAAATACAAAATACATGCTCGGTGAACCTTTGTTCATATCTACAAGACTGCAGCTAGAGATTAGGTTTCAATACTGACATGTAACTATTCTACAAGCAATTATAGCATTAAAGTTATGCAGTACATAATATGCCGTCAAGGCAACTTTTATACTGAAAATCATAAAATAAAAACCGTTATTTGTAAACTTTTATACGAAATGTAACTCTTCAAGTGGAAATAAAAAATAAAATTTTCTGTATATTTACTAGTTCAATACACATAGAATTTCTTTTTATTATACTGAGAAAAAAGCTTTGTCTTGTCTTGGGAAAATAATGCTTCAAAAAAAATAGAAAAATCCACCAGAACTCCACTTTGTGTCTTTTTTTTTTGTTTTTGTTTTAATATATGCCAGCACAGATTTGGGAAGGTACTGAGGATGAAAAAAAGCTAGAAACATCCACAGGTTGAAATGTAAGAAGCGCTTTCAAAATCCACTTTTTTTTTTTCCTTATGATTGGAAAGACAGTTTTGAAATGAAGTAAACTGATTGCAGGGCCACCGTCACAGCTGCTGTCATGAATAATACAAGGGCACATACGCAACTCCCCCTTTTTCCTTTTCCTTACTAAAAATAAAATATATATTTATATATGTGCAAGACAAATATGGATTGAACATAAAAATGCTTCACATTTTGTACTGTAGACTAAAAAGGTAATTTAAGAACAGCTTGATCGGACTAACGAACGGAATGTCAGCATCCTCACTATCAGTCAAAGCATGTGCATCCCAAAGCCCTCACTGAAATGGGATGAAGCCAGCCAGACTTTTCCACATTACATTAAGAAAAGCAGTGGGTAGGAATTCACAAATCCAGACGTTCCTGATCCTCTGAACATACTGCCCTTAACACGTCGGGCAAAATAGAGGTGTGTCGGGCAACTTCTCTCCCTGCCCTCACCGTAATTATTACCTGAACCTGCCAATTAACATCATCCATGTCAAGAAACCAAACTACGCTTTTAAAAAAAAAAAAAAGGTATTTGCAATGCTGAAGAATTAGGCATAAGTTGTTGCACAAAGCAAAAAAAAAATTTCCCCAAACCTGTTTTTCAAAACTGGCAGTGTAAAGAAGGCAGCATTGGAAGTGTTGTTTGATATATTGATAATGCCACAAACCCTCCACGGCAGACGAGTACTTCTGCGTTCAGGCGACGAGGTTCATTGCTGCCAACACACAGAAGTCAAAGCGCTTAACAGAGATCCTTTAGAAAGCCTGTAAAATTTGTTTTGCAGTTGTGTAATTGATCAAACTTCCCCTCACTGTGCCATAACGTCACAGCAGATGCCTCCGCTAAACATGCCATCTGCTGACACCGATCCGGACAGAGCCACCTAGGTTTAGTGTTACCATAGCAGCCTTTTGGAAAGTAGAAATTTATTAACAACTTCAGCCTAACCCCAAGAAAGCCCAACAGTCAGAATTCATTAGGAAGTTTACTAGAGGGTACCATTACACCCATGCCTTTAAGAGTTTTAAAAAGTCCATATATAATAATATCCATATATATTTAAGAGTGAATTTGGATTGCCTGAGTAACAGCTGTCTGGCAAACGGGACACGATGGCGCTTCCTTTTCACAGATTTTGTTGGCACACTCCATGCAGAAGAGATTGTGGCCACAGGGGACCAGGGCCGCAATGACTTCGCTCTCGAAGCAGATCACGCAGTCGTGCTTCCGTCTCGACTCGGGGGGCGAGCTGGACGTGGAGCCGCCGTTGGAAGAGGAATAGCTGTTGGTACCGTTGGAGAAAGCGGGGATGTATATGGGGAGGCCGGCTTGGTGGCCGGTGCTAGGTGGGTCGCTCCTCACTCTCCTAGCCAGTGGGTGATCCAGACTTTCTGGAAACGTGGGTGACAGGCGAGGAGTAGATGGTTGGCTCCCTCGGCGATGAGGCTTGGCATTACTAGCAGGGTCGCTACCAAAGCCGGAGAGAGGGTTTACAGGTTCAAAAGGAGTCCAAATGGTTTGGGAAGGCGTCGGTAAGGAGTCGTACGCTGGAGAGTCGACCGCAAGGTCTTCTGTGCCCACTGAAGGCAGCGTTTCTCCAAACCAGAAGTTGCCTGTGCTGAATGGACTCGTTGGGCTGAAGTCAGCCAATCTATTGCTTCCAAAATAGGAATCTGTGGAGCCACTTCCCAAGGAGCTGGAGCTGTCATTTCTATAATTAGAAATCATTCTGGTGCGGCTAGGAGGGACAGGATTAGAAGCAAGCCACGCAGACCCGAGAGTGCCTCCTTCAAAGCTCACATCTGTACCGTTGTAATGGAAATCGTTCTCTTCGTTCAGCTCAATGTAGTTCCCGGTACGCATGGCTATGTGCATCTCAATCTCCTCGCGCGCACGGTCGACGTTTTCGGGCATTACTGTAACTTCGAAGACAGGCTCCTTGTCTCTGCTGGGAGTGACTATGTAGGTATGGGTCTGCTGCTGAATTCTTTTGATTGTAGCTCCTTTCGGTCCAACCACTAGCCCAACTACACGGTAAGGCACCCTGACTTGGACTGTTGTCTGACCTGGCAGATTGGGGGTACATGGCAAGCCTCCCAGGGCAGGACCGTTCTTGTTGCGTGATGCTCTGATCATGGAAAAGTGTTCAGCAGCTGAGAGAATTTCCCTTTTGGCCATGGCTACGTCCTCTTTTCGTCCAGTGACAACAAAGATGGGTTCTTCTCCACGAACAGGGGTCTTAATGTAAGTGTTTGTCTTGGCCCTTAGTGCTTTTATTTTGCAACCTGTTTAAAGGAAACACATGCAAGTTTAGCAAGACATCTAAGTTTAGAAAGCCACAAGAAAGCCACCTATTTTAAGCTGTTTGAGAGTTTCAAGAAACTGTAGGGTGAAACCAGAAGCAGCTGTTTTTCTCTCTGCAACCCACACTAGAGAAAGCGGTAACAACTTCTACCTATTATTTCCAAACAGACCTCTGACACTTGCAGCCACAAACTATTTTAGCAACGTTTTTGGGGCCGCTTTAGCCCATCGTAGCCTCAATTGCTATCAGACAGTGAATCAATGTGAATGGCTTTTTCTCTATGACAGCCACGTTCTCGATTATCCCATAAATGCTGTTGGTCTGTATTTTTTCCATTGATTGGGTATCCTTCAGTTATTTCTAAGATCCTGCAAAAAGGAGTAAATGCTCATACATACAGACACATAAAACTCTGCTGATACGCTAGCCTTTCACTGACAAGCATGACCTAAAAGCAAATCAAACATTTACAAGTGAGAGAAGGGTCTGTATCACAACGTGTGTAGGATATAGATAAAATGATTGATTTACTGAGACCTCTTCATTTGCTTCCTGTTATCAGTAAGTGTTATTTAAACCTTACTCTTCCCTGTGGGATGAAGGAGCCACTCCTTGAACTGTCAAGTAGGAGTTCAAGCAGTTTATTGCATGTAAATCAGGTTTACTATGTAGTATTATGTGCCTGTGTGGAATTTCTCTTGTTAACTGCATAAATATAGTCTGAAAGAGAAGCAAGAAGTTAATGGAACATTTGTCTTAATTTCTGGGCACTGAATTATAAAGTTCGCTAGGACACAGTGGCGGCAGGCTCTTCCCTAAGATGCTTAAGGCATTTTGGCACGGCGCATACAGAAGCACCTTTTACCCATCACCGGACCAGAAAAGCAGGCAGTGCAAAATTCAGAGAGACAAGTAGGTCCATGACATGCAAGACAGTCTACTGGATTTGCTCTTAACTGAATTTAGCCTATATTAAAACAAATTCAAAAGCATGTCACAGTCAACGTCATTTTATAGCAAACCTCATCTTGAAACAACTAGCTATAAGCAACATTTGCAGACCAAGCATTTTAAGCATCATTTCACTTGCAGAATGAAATTTGTTCCTATTTTCCACATTTAGTTTAAGTATCTCGTAACTGGCTGAGACACGAAATGGTCTCTTGACATAGGGTGCAAGGGACTGACAAAACACGAGGTACCACTAGTGGTAACAATTTTACAGTTCAAAAGCCACTCAAAGATGCACTCTATTCAGACCTATCTACTAATATACGAAAGAGCAAATATGCAGACGCTGGTTGGAATAGAGGGAAGGAAGAGCCTCTTCTTGCAGGGCCCCTGCACAAAGGCTGAACACAACAGCCCTTTGTTTCCAGAACACAGCTGGAGAGGAAGTTCATCATCTCCAACAGCTCGTCAGGAGGGCTCTGGTGGAGGTAAGGCCTCCGAGAACACGCACGGAGGAGCACAGGAGGCCTCCCGGCAAGGGAGGGAGCGAGGCACAGGCAGATCTGCATAAAGGAGAGGATGCAGACCCAAGAACTGAACAAGTAGTTTGGCCAGAAGAGCAAGCACCTGCAGGAGATAAACCCATTCTCCTCAACCTCCCACTACAGCCCACAGAGAAGGGCACCAGTGCTCTACTAGATAAAAAAGCAAACACACAGGCATGAGATGCCTTATGAAATCACAAAGCTATTCTGAAGCCACGCCACTTCCCTGCTGGTGCTGTGGTTCTGTGACAGACAGCAGAACCTCACTTCGGCAATTTGCCTCTACTCCCCTCCATCTCTTCATTTGTGTTTCTCCCGCTCTTACTTCCCATTCCTCTTCCCCTTCCTGCTTCCCATTCTTTTACAGTTACTCAGAAAAGACGGTGGGATCAAACCTTAAACCCACAAGGATCCCCAAAACAGTGCCGCTGAAGTTTTCACACCAATCAAGCCCTCTTTACTGGAACACCTAAACCTGAAGTCTGCTTCCTGATGCACATCAGTTATCCTCCAGTTTACTCAAATTACTTTCATTTACTCCATTCCACCCAAGTATATATAGTTCTATATATATAATTCTAGTATATATAGATCTCCCAGAGATCGCTTTGCCAGAGTCACATTTCCAAACCACTCCGGTGTGAAGAAAAGCCTTCTCGCCTTTCTTCCTCAGGCTGCAGAATGGCACAGACCAAGGTGGGCAGAGCTTTTCTTTTAAGGTATGAGTCACATACCTAGAAAGCAGAGGCTGAACGTTGCCTCAACTCCATGCAGCGATAGAACAAGACTTTTAAACATTGGAAAGCTGGCTTGAATGGAAAGCTGACTCCACAGACCGTCAAGGTCAACTCTCAAACTTTATCTGGAAAGTTAGAAAGAACCAAAGAAAGTCACCACATATAAACCCCAACATTTCTGAATGAGTCAGTCGATACCCGCTGGGTTTTGTCTGCAAGGAATGCTGGAAAACCCCACAACAGTCAGTCATGTCAAAACACAAGGTCAGTGGCCCATCACACCACCCCAGCAGGATGATCTTTCTATTTGCTTTTACTCAGCTGCTCTCGTTTCCCACCCTCCTCCATTAGTCACTACCGAGGCGACAATATGAAGCACGGCTGATTCCATCCCCTCTCCGACAACCCACAGCATCCAGAGGCGCTGCAGCCACGATGACATGAAGTCAGCCAGCTATGAAGTCATGTGGCCAAGGGATGAATCAAGAAGTTTCCCAACCTCCTGAGCTTAAACACAGAAAGACAAAGGAAAAAAAAATACACCGCCCCACACTTTTGCAATAAGTCATCAGATTACTGTATCCAAGATTTTGAACTACGGAGATTAAAGAAGCCTGATGAGGGGACTTCTAGACTAGAAATCCAATTTAATCAAACCTTTCGAAGTAATTTTAGTTTTGGTATGATAATGGAAGTCTACTCAATACAAGTCACCGTACTTGGTTCAGCGGTATAAGCATTGCTAAACAGCGCACTCAGCCACAAGTACATACTGACATACTTAAAGCAAAAACCTTTACTTTTGCTTTTGTTTAGGCCAAGACTTAGTACTTGCCTGCCCAGGCACCCGATGAGGAGCCAAGCCCGTACCAAGCCCTGTACGTGGTGTTCATCCTGTGCCAGCTGATTTGTATCACTCTTCTCAAGCCTCCTCCCTGTTTTTCCTTTAAGAAGATTATTTTAGTGACCATTCTAAACACACTGTGAACATTATACTCCCCAAGAAACTTAAGGGTAGCTCTAAAGGAATTGTTTACCTCATACACTACCAATTTTAAATAATCAAATACTTCTTTATTAAAAAAAGTTGATGGGAAGATAGATTATTTCTTTTCCTCTTGAAGTGAGTGTCAAGCAACAGCCAGCTCAGCCTTCACTCCAACGTTCACCTTTCATCATCACAAACAGGAGGAGGTACATCAAACCCAGTCTCAGGCCATTTACTCCGTGAGGGAAACTCCCCAACAGAGCCATCAGAGCCAGGCGACTGCAGCGGGAACCCTGTGGAGGAACCCTGTGCATGCCTGCCTCACACCACACCAGCCGACCTGCTGCCATGAGCCAAGAACCACCCGAAAAAGCATCCCACAGAATCCTCTGCACAGCCATGGTGTTAGTCCAGGAGAAATGGATCCTTCCCCCCGTTTGTTTCTTCTGCTGAGTTCACCTCAGTGCCACACACTGGGAAGGGGACAAGGATGGATTTACAGATGAGGGTCCCTTTGTTGCGTTGTCTCTTCTGAACAGCTACACCAAGGAAAGGGAGTCCTTCATGCTTCTCAGTATCAACATTAGCAAAATGCAGCCTGTCAAAGCAGGGACACACACCTCATGCCCACGTTCCTCCTGCAGCTCTTGCCAAGCGCTGTGAAACTGGAGTTCAGGCACGCATCGGAACCCCAACCTTCTTACCATCACATCTGCTTAACCTCGTCTCCCCACTTACATAGGGCTTTGGGGGAAAAAAACCACAAACCAACTGAAAAAAGTTTAGATAAACAGAAGCCTGGAAGTTATGGTAGGTAAAAATTCAGCAAGCAGCCCCTGTGAACCATAATCAAATGACAATATGAGTTTCCTCTCTGACCCTGCTCCTGACAAGTACTTAGCTATAGGCGGTCAAAACTGAGAACCTCCTGCAGCCCTTTAGACACACAAATCCTGTGGGAAGACACCAGTACTGCCTGGGCTGTTAAGAGCAGCAAGCAGGGTGAAATTGCGTTAGCACCAACTCAGTCCTTACACAGCAGGCAGGGCTGATGAGCAGCCCTGACCAAACCTGGCATCCTCTGAATCGGTCGCAGTGCAACTGTGGGCACAGCGATCGCACAGACTGGCCTCCACAGCTTGCTAGCACTAAAGAGAAATTATATTTTTCAGGAGCTTTGCCGTTATCTGATGAAAGGCAATACTGTATTACAGCCTCCACCCTAAATACGGTCTTTAGCACTCTGATCACTGATTTTGTAATATGCTGACACCAAGTAAGGAGGCGACAGAATAATTAGCGACATCAAACCTGGAACCATAAGCTGCTAGTAGGACCATGGCTAATTTCTTGCCTAGAAAGTAAAAAGGGAAGCCCCCGCAGGGGATAGCACAGCATTGCCAGGCATGCCAAGGAGAGCGGGGAGTGCACAGGGATTTGTTTTCTGTGAACCAGAAACTGTTGTGTATGGACACAGCTTTAAAGGTAGAGTCTGTTAAGCTGGCACAGCCCTTATTTCATTGCTAGGTTGCCACAAGCTTTTAATTGGAAAGTGAGAACTCCTGCAGCTAAGGTAACGAAGGATTTGCAGAGAGTGAAACACTGGATGTACCGTAAGGCCAACGGCTGCTAGGTCTGCAGAGCATAACGCTGCCCACCTGATTAACAAACAAAGAAAAATTCATCCACTTCATTAAGAATGACTGCTCTACACATTTTTCAGAAGAGTTGTTCATTCCCACCGGTGGTACAAGCTGCATTCTTTTGCTTAAACACAGGAGTGCTTCCTCTCGGTTGTGACATGGCTAAAAGTACCTATCCAGTTTGCAATTATACAGTAGAAAACTGATGTATGTCCCATTTATTAAGCGGAAATGAAACTGCATTGGGACAGAAAATGAAATCCTATTCTAAATTTTTAATGGCTAAACCTCCTTAAGCAGGCTGGCTACACAAAAGAAATTAAGACCAGCACATTTTTGGAACTTCACTGGGTTATTAAAGTCATATGAAATACTACCTGTTGTCTAGTCAGTTGATAGACCGATTCTGGTTACTATCGCCTTTCCCTTAAGATCAATTCATTCATCTCACACCTTGTTTTAATTCATGGACTGGAAAATTCCAACTCCTGACAATTTTTTTTTCAACTGGCTGTTGAATATAGTTAGTTGATTCAAGGAAGACGAAGAAAGTAATTTCTCCGCACTTGCAAAAGATGCTGATCTGCACAAAAACCTAGATCTATGTACTCAGGCAGGTATTTATCACCCCTCCGGCATTTTGATTTTAGGAACGAAGGCTGTAAAAATATTGCTTTTGAATTTTATTTTTAAACAATTTTGAGAGACAGCCTAAACTTGGATAATAGTTATCAAATAGAATTTTTTGAAAGCAAGTTTTCATTTATTTTTATGCAGCTTTCTCTACAGCCAGAGGTAAGCTGCGACACGCCATCATCACAGAGCACAGCAGCCATCCTGAAGATGGGACTAGACCAACCACCAACAGCTTTAAGAGCTCCCCATTAGCATTCTACAGTACAGATAACAGTCTGATCACTATTTGGGTTAATTAGCCAGTAAGATTAGGGCTCCCATGTGACAACTAGACGCAATACATGCCACAGAGCTAACAGATATGAATAT